TGCCGATGGTGCGTACCGTGCGGTGCCCAGTCGGAGCCGTGGCGACCGGCTGACGCAGCGGCCAGCGGGCGCTCCAGCCTCTAGGGGTGCCGGGAACCGACTCGACCGAGTCATATCCACAATCGGCCTCTGTCCATGCAATAGCCGTCCACTGTCACTCAGTCTGCACCGATCGCATGTCTTAACCCTCGCCCGTATAGGGGGGGGGGGGGGTCGAACGGACCCCCTCGGTTTTTCGCGAATACCTAACTCGCTTAAAAAGCGGCCGGTCACGACGAAACTTTCAAAAACCTCGCGTTTTTAACAATTTTACATTTACCCTGAAAATTTCATGACCCTGACCCAAATGACCTTTGACCCGTGACCTACTTTTCGAACCATGTTTGGCCGAATCGCGATTCGGCGGATGTCGGCTCGCATTAGCAGCGCGTTTGCAATCTTTTCGTGGTTTCAAGCGTTCACAAATGTGATATGATGTTGCCCCCATTCATTAGGGTGGGTGTCAAGGTCACCTGAAGGTCAGGTCGGGTCATTGACCTTTGATGACCTCGGTTCACTTTTTCGAGGTGTACCTGTTTCTAGGCTAGTTTTGTGAGCTGAATTCGAATTCAGCCACCATTTGAACATTTACGGAGTAGTTTTGGTGCTTTCGTATTATGTTAGGAAGCTATCAGAGGCGGTTGACACTTATTACGAATACCAGGTAGGACCCCCTACTGGTTGACTTGACCTGACCTGACCCGACCTGGCCTAAATGAATGAAGACATCATCTGTTATCATAACTAGCATGATATTCGTGATTAGCATCCCGGAAACCCCATCTCAACCATACTTTGCGACGTTCTAAGAGGTCCCGATTTCCCCGATTTTTGGGTCATCGACCCGACCTGGAAGGTCACCCAATGACCTAGGACCTCAAAATATTGGGTATCATCGGCTTCCTCTCGTCACGGGCAACACGCTCGTTTTTCCCGCGAAGCTCTAGCTCGATCAGGGGCGAAACGGCAAGGGCGTGGTCCAACGGAATCCCCCCCCCCCCCTATACATTCGCGGCTGGAAAACACCAATACGGGCGAGGGTTAAATACCGTTCGCCAGCATGGTGTGTCAAAAGTGGAAATAGCCGGTGCGCCGTCTGGCAACCCGGTAGCCTGCCGCCATAGGGAAATTCATGTTTTTTGTCGCTTTTTCACTCCTTATGAGTCACTTCATCTAATTAGAGCTTAACTAGGAACGAGGCGGATCACTTGGACGTAGGTACCTATTCGGGAGCCGAAAACGTTGTTTACCTCGTTGCCAATACCTCGGAGACCCTATCCGCCCAATGCGAGTTTTAAGAGTACATGCCCAAATTAACGTTGAGGTCGGTTTTCTTCGACCATTTGGCGAAATCGCCTGATTTATTCGACCAGGGTGGACCAGGGGCGGATCCAGGAAAACTCCAAGGGGAGGGTCATGAATCGAAGTGGTGCCCCTACCTATACCCAAAATTAAAAACTCAACGGATTTCGTCCACTTCATTTTGGTGGGGCCCCCATTTTCAGATTTTTTTCTTTTTATTTCTTATTTTTAGTCAGTATCTTAACTCTTAGCCACAACCACATTTACCAATTGTAAGAAAGTATATATGAATGTGCTATGTGTATATATGTTGTGGACGCTGAGTAGTGAGTAGGGGAAGCCGGGGGAAGCCCGGGCGCGGGGGAAGCCCGGCCACCCCGTTTCCGGCTAAATTATTCACAATAAAATGCTCAACTGTTTGTCCTTTCAGCGTGGCAGCTAAGGTAACGCGAGCAAAAAAGTTAAGGCCGACAAAAAATGCATATTGTTAAAGTTATAGCGCAAAAATGATATTTTAAGGGTTTTTAGCTAAAAAGTGAGATGTGTTGCACTGTTAATGTTATACCATACAGTACTAATATTTATACGAATGTTATGTAAGGACCGTTTAAGTGTTTGTAGTGAGGGGTGACGAGGCAGGCTGGCTTAAGTATGACATTTTTTCGAATATCGCTGTTCTAAAATAAAAATTAGCACATTGGGGTAACCCCGGGCGAGTGGCCAAGCTTACCCCCAACCGAGAGCATGGCCACTAAACCACTGTTTTCCATGAGATAATAGGTACTGAGCATGTTTGGTTTACACCTAGATCAAAGATAAATTTCGAAAATAAACATGTTATCATAGACAAAGCCAGTCATGTCACTTAAGGTCAACTAGGGTCAAACTACGTTTTTGCAGATAACGCGACAGACAATGAAGCTAGAGCTTCAAAAATGGTGTCGTTGTGTTCTTCTTCATCAGCCGAGTCGAATGATATGCAATATGATGCATTAAGGTAAAAAGAAAAATAAATTTTAAGGAATTTTGAAATACACATTTTTTGTCAATTTTGCATCACGATTTTCATCGACCTGTACTGTATATGTAGTAGACGCTAGCTTAAACACCAGTAGTGACATAAACTCTAAGATGTCCAGAGCTAATTAGTACCTTAATATTTCACTTTCCGTTAATATTTGGAAAACACATAATGGTTTCATCAACTCGTTGTAAAGCGCTGGGGAGGTGGCCGGCGTTACCCCTATGCCGGGCTTACCCCAGAAAAATCAACACTTTTTTGAAACTCGATTTTCTCAACCTTATACTTATTCCACGAAACCGAATTTTTGGGAAAACACGGCCAATGAACTTAGCTAGCTAGCAGGATGTCAACATTTTATACAGCACGTATGGTATGTAATAAAAATCAAAAAGAGCTTACTATGCCGGGCTTCCCCCGGCTTCCCCTACTTACCAGGAACGTTATCAGGTAAGCAAATCGAATTGTCAGTCCGACGAACTTGACCCTGGCGTCTAAAGGGTCTGTCCTTGACACTTCAGGCTTGTCAGGGGCACCAAAGTCCTTCCAGGGACACCACAAACCTGTTAGGGGCACCTACGGCCTTGTAGGGGCGCCACAGGCCCGCCAGGGGTACCACAGGCCTGCCAGGAAGCAGGGGCACCACAGGTCTAGCAAGTATACACGACAGGCCTGTCAGGGGCACAACGGGCCTGTTGGGTCCATGAGCACCCCTAGGGGCAGGGGCACCACAGTCCTTCCAGGGGCACCGCAGGCCTGTGAGGGGCACCAGCGGCCTAGCAGGGGCACCAGTCAACACAGGCCTGCCAGGGGCACCACAGACCTGCCAGGGGCACCAGAGGCCTGCCAGGAGCACCACCGACCTCGCAGGGGTAACTTGGGCCTGCCAGGGCCCAGGGGCACCACGGGCCTGTCGAGAGGCACTCAGGCTTTTCAGGGGCACCATAGTCCTCTCCGGGCGCAGGGGTAGCAGGGGCACCAGAGGCCTGCCAGGGGCACTACAGGCCTAGCAAGGGCACCAATGGTCTATCAGGGGCACCACGAGCCTGTCATAGCCAGGCATCTCAGGCTTGTCAAGGCCCAGGGGCACCACAGGTCTGTGAGGGGCACCAGCGACCTAGCAGGGGCACCAGTCAACACAGGTCTGCCAGGGGCGCCACAGACCTGCCAGGGGCACCACAGACCTGCCAGGGGCACCAGAGGTCTGCCAGGGGCACCACCGGCCTCGCAGGGGCACCTTGGGCCTGTCAGGGGCACCAAGGGCCTGCCGAGGGGCACTTCAGACTTTTCAGGGGCACCAGTCCTCTCCGGGCGCAGGGGTACCAGCGGCCTAGCAAGGGCACCAGAGGTCTGCCAGGGGCACCAGCGGCCTAGCAAGGGCACCAGAGGCCTGCCAAGGGCACCACAGGCCTAACAAGGGCACCACGGGCCTGTCAGGGGCCCCTCAGGCTTGTCAGGGCCCAGGGACACCACAGTCCTTCCAAGGGCACCGCAAGCCTGTCAGGGGCACCAGAGGCCTGCCAGGGGCACCACAGGCCTAGCAAGGGCACCACAGGCCTGCCATGGACACCACAGGCCTGCCAGGGGCACCACCGGCCTTGCAGGGGCGCCTCAGGCCTGTCAGGGGCACCACGTGCCTACCGGGGACACTTCAGGCTTGTCAGGGGCGTTACAGTCCTGTCAGGGCCCAGGGGCACCAGGCCCGTGGTGTCCCTGCTAGGCCTGTGGTGCCCCTGGCGGTCCTGTGGTGCCCCTGTCAGGACTGTGATACCCCTGCTAGGCCGGTGGTGCCCCTGGCAGGTCTTTGGGCCCCCGGGCCTCAAGGGGGGGGGGCCATGACCCATGTGACCCCCCCCCCCCCCCTTGGATCCGCCCCTGGGGTGGACTAATTCGCTCAGCTAGGAATAAGGCGTTGAAGAGAATTATTCAAGGAATAGGGCTGTGCAAAAATATTTCTTGTATTGTTACAACTGTATCCGCCCTTGAACGATAAATATTGTTGACTCATCAGAAACACATCCCGTGGAATGCGTTTGGACTTGGCTGGATCTAATGTTAGCGAGTATCTGCTAATGCAACTTCTTGGCTTGCACAGTGTGCACACAAACATACATGCTTCCTGTCCTTGGATTATTCCTCACTTGAATAAAATTTTGCTATAATAACTTTTCCAAGCAGTTGACAGGTTGTAGTGCCCTGCAAAGTCGGAACCGTCCCGCGCCGGCAGTCTCCCAGGCGGTGCGTAACGGCCGCCGCGCCGCCGCTCTCGCAGGGTGTTTGACTTTATACCCCTGTTGTTGAAAAGTTGTGGACCGATTTACTTGATTCTTGCATGACAAGATCCGCCATTCAATTCTTAGCGGGTACCGAAAATTTGACGTCAATCGCACGATCCGCCGCCCATATTGCGGTACTGCCATCTATTGACAAGGCTGGAGAACTAAGGCCGTTCGGCTATTTCCACTTCTGACACACCATGGTGATGAGCGAGTGCCCAGTGCACCGCTTCGTCTCGTTGCGGTGGACGCCGTCCGGTTGGGGGCTCGGTGCCGGCTGCAGCCTTCGGCGCTGGCCCGACCCAGCCCGGCGTCGGGTGCGCTCCGTATAACCCGCTGACCGGCGACCCGCCCACAGGTCAGCAATGCCCGGGCAGGGCCCCTCAGCGCCGACGGCGGCGGCGGCGGCGGCGGCGCCGGCGGCGCGCGGCGACCAACCGGCCGCCGCACAGAACAAGCCAGCCAAGTGCAAGGCGTGCTGCGCCTGTCCGGAGACCAAGCGCGCCCGGGACGAGTGTATCGTGCTGAACGGCGAGGAACACTGCCGGCCACTGATCGAGGCGCACAAACAGTGCATGCGCGACATGGGTTTCAACATCTAGACGGAGGCGGCGGCGGTGTCGTACCACCCGGGCGGCGGTGTCGTACCACCCGGGCGGCGGTGTCGCGCCACCCGGGCGGCGGTGTCGCGCCACCCGGGCGGCGGTGTCGTACCACCCGGGCGGCGGTGTCGCGCCACCCGGGCGGCGGTGTCGTGCCACCCGGGCGGCGGTGTCGCGCCACCCGGGCGGCGGTGTCGCGCCACCCGGGCGGCGGTGTCGCGCCACCCGGGCGGCGGTGTCGCGCCACCCGGGCGGCGGTGTCGTACCACCCGGGCGGCGGTGTCGCGCCACCCGGGCGGCGTGGATCGGTGGTCGGGGTACAGGGAGCGCAATGGACGAGTTTTGCCTGTGCGATAAAGACACAAATAGTACATATGTATTGATTGTTGTGCTGTTCATATGGTTAACACGATAAAAAACGACCCCAAGATGTCTTCGACGACGCAGAAGCACCGCAACTTCGTGGCGGAGCCGATGGGCGACAAGCCGGTCACTGCTCTGGCTGGCATCGCCGAAGTCAACGGCAAAAAGCTGGTGGCCAACGATTCGACAAGGCCTACATCGTGCTGGGCCAGTTCCTCGTGCTGAAGAAGGACAAGGAGCTGTTCGTGGAGTGGCTGCAGGACCTGATTGGGTGCAACGTCAAACAGGCCACCGACTGCTGGCAGTGTCTGGACGACTGGTGCGCAGAGCTGTTGTAGCACGTTGGAAAAATTAGAAGTGTCTGTTCGTAATTGGCATACGTGTCAACGCTCCGAATGATATCGTAGGAGCATTCGGGCCTGTGCGCTCTCTTCCATCCCCGTCAAGTTGTGCGACACGTGTGCGCCTTCAGTGGATAACATTTAACAATGCAATCGAGGTATTGATTCTTTCGTTAGCGCGTTCATGCGCCGATGCGTTAGTGCCATCGTGTTACTGGTGAATGGTGATGCTGCGAATCGCCCGAGACGCGGCGCTACAGTGCTCTCGCGTACCATCGCTATGATGCCCTCCCTCCGACCTCTGGCAGGCCTGGGGAGCGCCAGGGGCGCCCCTCCCGATAGCTGTTGCAAGCCCGAGGAGCGGCGCGTCGCCGCGCCTTCCGGCAGACGGTGGGCCGGCCAGCGGCTGTGGCCTTCAGGGATTGGCCGACGCGGCGGTGATACGATCGCGTCGCGCACTCTTTGTTGCGGTGTTTACGAAAAATGGTTTGAATAAATGTGTTGCATGGATGAAAACAGTAGCCTTTGGGCGACAACAGCGAACGGGCAGGGGAGACTGGGGCAAAGTGGCCACCCTTAACACGCGCACCGACGGGGGGGGGGGCGGATATCCGCCCCCCCTGAGGTTTTTTCGCGAATAGCGGGAAAACCGCGGCGCGTACGCGAAATTTGGTACGACTATTCGCTCATCAATTTTACACGCGGTGTGCAAGTTCGAACCTCCTAACTTTTAAGGTCAGGTCACCAGGTCACTTCGAATGACCCAACCTCAAGTTACTTTTTTGCAACTTTGTCACCGTGCCAGAGCTACAATAGATGTCGGAGGCCTTCGAAAGTCGCAGGATGTTATAAGGTCATTAGTAGCTACAATTTGTATATCTCGGCATTTTTATATCGATGACCTAAGGTCAGGTCAATTTCTCGACCTCCCCATTATAAGTCAATGGGGGAAAAATCAACTCCCTGTTTTTACCACTAAAACGGGTCGGAACGGCCCCATAAACCATACATGACCTCATATACGAGCAACCTTCACTACATTGAGGTCTGTTTTGCTGTTGGGCAGCTGTAAGGTCATGTGACGTCATCAAAGGTCACCAGCGGTTTTTTTTTACAATAACTCCGTACAGGAACAAGATACAGCCGCGCGGATGGTCTCATTGTGTTCAGCTCGTCAAGGCGCATCGAATGATACCTATACATGATGACCTCGAGGTCACGTGACCTGAGGTCAACCTATGACCTTGACCTTTCGAGGTCAACATATACATCATTCGATGCGGATTGACGAGAGGATCACGATGATGCCCTTAGTTTGTTCTTATGTTGACTAGTTCGAAAGTTATTCTAGAAAAACTCTCCCTATACCTACCTAGCGTCGCCATTTTGACTTTTTTTACCCCTGTGACGTCATCTTTGACCTGACCTGAAAATGACCTTAGTAAAAATTGTAGACATTGTCCGTGCGTATCCCTTGCCGTTTACCGCTTGTAGCTATCTCGCTTCGTTCTCGAGATCTCAGGGGGGGGGGGCGGTCATCCGCCCCCCCCCGTCGGTACGAAGTTGGCGCAGACCCCCGTCGGTGCGCGGGTTAAGGTCTAGCTACACTATGCGGGATCCTACGTCCGTGATCTGAGAGTTTGCGGGTTTTGCAGAAAATCGGTACGCAGATGAAGTTCAGCTGATATGAAATACCTACACAGGGTCGGCTACACAGGGGTCACGCAGATTCAGTCAAGGAAATCCCGGACGTTCAGTATAGGAAATGCCGGATAGTCAGGACGGTCAGAATGTTCCGTACCGATATAAAGTTCAGAGCTACGAACTTTTTTGCAGAATCTGCGAGATTGCGTGATATGAGACAGTTGTTGGCGCACTTGGTGGCGCACCGTATGAATCCAAGTGACGTAATTAATTATTATTTCTTTACTTTTAATGTGTTATTGATGTTTTATTAACAAAATAAACAATTTATCGATACAATAGTAGGTATAGAAGATAGCAAACTTTAGCGTTTGTTGCGAAACCATTTATTAGTTGTTATTATAACGTCAGCATACAATAATTCACGGAAATTCTGGAAAAACGCAGAAACCGATGTCAAGGGAGTCTCGCAATCACGGATCTGCAGATCACGCACGTAATTTCCTGGACGGTCACGCATAGTGTAGCTCAGCCTTTACGCTTTTTTTTCGATGCCGACGCTTCATTTCAAACCGAAAGATTCTTCCTTATGTCAATATGATCCGGAATCCTTATTAAATTGTCCTTCATTTTAAATTCGTTTCATTTCTAAAGGCGTTCACATGTTTAACAGGCGTTGGCAAAATTTAAAACGTATGGGGGAGGGTGAGGCGATATGATCGGCAGCGTCGCCACGGCTTTTTGAATGGGGGGGGGGTACACCGACTGGACCCCCCCCAAATGGAAATACTGTTCTCCGCCCTATTTTCAAAATCGCTGCATTATGGAAGAGCGGGGTAATGACGACAACGTAAGCATTTTCCACCATAGCTCAACTATTTACTATGCATTTCAGACCCTGTGGAACAGTCCTTTTCGGCTATTTCTCGTTGAATATGCGTTTGATTTTAACCAAACCTTGGCATTAGTAGTTTGAGATCCCTACCTAATTTCTATCAATATGGTCTATTAACCCTCGCCCGCACATGGGGGGGTGGTTGCCACCCCCCCCCCAGGTAGTCTTTCTGCCCTGCACTCAACATTTTTAGCGCTAGAACGCTGATTTTTCGTATAGCTGCTCCTCTATCCTTTCTTGATGTCCACTGAAAATTTCAAGTTTCTGTGATTTTTGGTTTCGGAGATATGACCTTGTTTTTCAGGTCATGTCATGACCCAAATGGCCAATTCTCAACATCTTGAGTTTGCCATGGGTCTTGCGAGCTTTTGACACCCTGATTTCGGCCTTTTTTGCCAGTATTACCTCCCACCTATCATGGAACATGTTGTTCGACGATGTACAGGGGTCAAGGTGAGGGTCAAGGTCAACCTAGGTCATCTAAGATAATTGCGTTTTAGGCAAGCTGAATTTACTTTTTTTGATTTTTTTTACTGCATTTTTGGTAAAAGCTTCTCAGAGCATGATTTCATGTAATATGGACCCAAAAACAATCGGTGCACACATCAGTATACACACAGACACACACAGACATACAAACACATATAATTGACCTTGACCTAACTTGACCTGGAATGACCTCAGCCGCAAAATTCTGGTCGGGTAGTGTGACAAAGGGGTTCTAGCTGGCCTGGCACCAGAAAACAGCATCGTCATCGGTATTTGATAAGCAGCGCACTTGATATCCAACGGTGACCCAAAACAGCAATATTTTTTAGTTTGACCTGACCTGGAAGGTCAATGACTGACCTGAGAAGGTAAAACTGGGTATCATTGGATTCGTCTCTTCCCAAAGAATCTTTTTGGTCTTTACCGCTAAGCTCTATCTCCAACAGGAACGAAATGGCGCGGGGGGGGGGGGTGGCAACCACCCCCCCCATGTGCGTTCTAGGATGGGAAAATGGCATGTGCGGGCGAGAGTTAACCCGCGCCCCACTGGGGTCTGCGTATAACACGCCCTACGGGGGGGGGGGGGCTCTTCATGTCCCCCCTCCTAACTCCGAAACTACTGGGGCCGATCGTCAAAATTCAAACGGCGTCTGATAGCCCCGGAAAAACTGTCGAACGAAACCTAATTTCATTGACCTCGAGGTCACCGATGACGTCACAGGTCACGTCAAAGTAAAAATTATTAGCATTTTGGCTTGTTCACGTTTTGGGCTCTGGCCGCCGTCTTACAAGTCAGATCAGGCTCATTTTTGGTTCACACTCGTGAACAGATGCTCTAGATACCCTGAGGGTACCAAACTTGTACTTTGATTTTCAGGTCAAGGTCAGGTCATCACAGGTCACGAAAATATTATATCATGCGTCGGTCACGTGACACAAGTTCTATGGTCCATTTAGGCCAAATATTTCGAATTTGATGTCTGTGTCATTCGAGGTCATTTTGAGTCGAATTTAGCTTAGGTCAGGTCACTTTCAGGTCAAAAAAGGTCAAATTTTGAAGTAAGAATTTTTCAACAAAAAAGGTGTCTATTGGATGCAGTTTGAGCTCAGGAACACGATGGTGCTATTTATATTGGCGTACGATGTTAAATACGTGCTGAAGAATTGATTTGAAAAATTAATAATTGTGAATTTTTTGCAATAGTGCGTATAACTTGGCCATTTTTGAAGATGTTTAGCAAAAACTTGCTAGAGTTGGTCAAAATAGGTAATGCGTTCTATCATATTTTTTCCGTTTTTACGAAAAATCAAAAACTTTTTGAAAAAAATGTAAAATATAAATTTGAATTTTATTATATAAAATTTTCGAAATTTTCAAAATTTCAAAAATCCGAGATAGCAGTTTGATAGCGCAGTCTATTCTGAGCCCTTTTATGCAAATAAATTGGATCTAGCTTAAAAAACTGAGCTCTTGGGAGCGATTGCCGTGGTTCAATGTTTTGCGTCGAAATCGGACTAACATGACGTCACTCTGACGTCATTTCCGGCCGACCTATGGTAGCTACGAACTACGAAGTTCATATTTTGACACAAGGTGTCAAATTGATGCAGCCGAAGGTACTGAAATTTGGCGTCGATACGTCAAGCCGTTTAGAAGTTATTGCAGAAAAACGGGAGGGGGCTATGAATAGCCCCCCCCCCCCCCAGTGGGGCGCGGGTTAATAACGATCGATGAACATTTTTCTAGTTAAATCTACCTCCACTCTTATAATTAAAGTTCATTTTATTGGAACAAATTACGGTTTTCCTGACCCCTGCAAAATGTACATTTAGGCACAGCATGCCCTAATTGCGCCACGTGAAATTATGCATTAAAGAACCATGCAAGGTTAGCCCTTTTACTGGCAAGGGCGATAATGTTCCCCTGAATGTCTTTATTGGTCAGTACGGGCCCCTCAGACCTTCTGGGGTC